GGCTAAACATGCCCAGCTCCTTAAGCTGCTCCTCATAGGGCTTGTTCTCCAGACCCTTGATCATTTTAGTCGCCCTCCTCTGGACACAGTCCAGCTTGTCAGGATCTCTCTTGAAATGTGGTGCCCAGAATTGGACACAATATCCCAGGTGTGGTCTAACCAAAGCAGAATAGAGGGGTAGCATTACTTCCCTGGACCTAGATACTATGCTCCTATTGATGCAGGCCAAAATCCCATTGGCTTTTTTGGCCGATTTGGCCCATGAGCCTTTAGTTTCCCACATGTGCTTTAAAGCAGGCATGGGCAAACTTCGGCCTTCCCCTCAGGTGTTTTGGAGTAAAACTCCCACAATTCCTAACAGCCGGTAGGCTGTTAGGAATTGTGGGAGTTGAAGTCCAAAACACCTGGAGGGAAGGCCGAAGTTTGCCCATGCTTTCTCTAGCAGGACATAATCCTTTTGAATTGCCCTTTGGTGGTCCATCAGTTGTTGCAGTAACTTGCGGTTCTATATAGGGAACAGAAAAAAAGAGAAAGTGAACTTTCGAAGGGAAATGCGTGTATTAATAGAACTATTAATAGAACGGTACTTTCCAAACCAAGGGAAGGAGTACTCCCACTGTATTCTGCTCTAGTCTGGCCTCCAAATAGAGTGCTGTGTCCAGTTCTGAGTCTCTTTCTCTGAACGTTTTCCAGAAGAGGCTGGATAGCTCCCTGCTGGAGATCCTATACTTGAGGAAGAGGTTGGAACTGATGGCCTCAGGGACCCTTTCTAATTCCACGATTCGGTGATTCCATTAGGACATAACACATTGAGTACCCTGATGTAACCAAATCCACAAGGTGGTGATACCTTTATTGGCCAAAGAAATGCACAAAACGCTTCTCGCAACTCTCGAGGCTTCACTGTTTTCTTCTTCTTCGGGCAAAAATACTAGAAATTGCACAGGCTGTCCCTGGGTTACAAACATCCACCTTACAAATGAGTCCTAGTTAAGAACAGGCGTGAGACAAAAGGAAGTGAGAGAAATCTTCCCCTCAGAAGGAAGGGAAATTTGCTCTTGGAAGAGTTATTATCATCATGGGGAAAAGGTGTCTCCACTGAAGCTTTATCACCAATTCTTGTTTGCCCAGCAAGCCAATTTTCTCAAAATCCAATTTTCACAGAGACAGAAAGTGTAGTGAAATCTTCTGAACAGGGGTACAGTCAGCAAAGGGAACTCCACAAGGGTATTAACCATTCCTTATGATATCCAAAGCTTACTCACTCTCTCTCTCTCTCTCTCTCTCTCTCTCTATATATATATATATATATATGTTTGTTCTTAAGTTACATGTATTTGTTCTTAAGGCTTGTTCTTAAGTTGAGTTTGTTTGTAAGTCAGAACAGGTTACTCCAACTATATATATATGTGTGTGTGTGTATGTGTGTGTGTGTATATATATATAGTGTGTGTGTGTGTGTATCTCCACACACACACACACATATAGAGTATATGTGGCAAGTTACATGTATTTGTTCTTAAGTTGAGTTTGTTTGTAAGTCAGAACAGGTTACTCCAACCATATATATATATATATATATATATATATATATATATATATATAGAGAGAGAGAGAGAGAGAGAGAGAGAGAGAGAGAGAGAGAGAGAGGATATATATATACATATACACACACACACATATATATATATAGAGAGAGAGTATGTGGCAAGTTACATGTATTTGTCCTTAAGGTTTGTTCTTAAGTTGAGTTTGTTTTTAAGTCAGAACAGGTTACTCCAATCACACACACACACACAAACACACACATAATGTGTGTGTGGAGATTATATATATATATATATGGCAAGTTATATGTATTTGTTCATAAGGTTTGTTCTTGAGTTTGTTTGTAAGTCAGATCAAGTAACTCCATGCATATATATATTTATTGTGTATGTGTGTATATATACATATACATACATATATAAAATGTGTATGTGTGTATGTGGTGTAGGTGTCCACTTATACAGACAGCCTCCCACCTCCACAAACAGGCTACAGTTGCAAGTGTTGAGAAGCCTCCAAAGGCACTCCCTCCACTGACGTTGCAGGTTAGAGTGAGCGCCATGAACATGTAGCCCAAACATTGCCAATGTCCTCTCCAAACACTATGGCCTATCACACAAGGAATGCTTTCCTTCGGGGAGAATTTCATCCTAGATTTGACGTGTTTCCTCCACAACACGCAGGCATCCCAGGGATCCTTGTAGAGATGAACCAAACTCCCAGTTTTATCAAACAGCACTTACTTGCTGGCTGTTTTAATAGACCAAAATATAAAACATAAAGATAGCACTCAGCCACAAAATAAACAAAAACTGATAGCAAAAGCTACACTGTAGCCAAAGCGTCCAGTCCAGTGGTCAAACACAAAATCCAGGGATCAAGAGTCTATACCGTAGTCAAAAGCCAGTTCAAAGGTTCAAGATTCCAGGGTTCCAAGATTACAGGAGACAGGTCAGGATACGAAAAATCCAACAGACCTGGGGGAAAAACCAGCAGCATCCACCACCAAAATACGACAATACTTTTCTCCCAAAGATCATTTCCAAGGCTCACTCCTTATATCCACAAACACCCAGCTGCAACCTATCTCTTGCATACCTCCACCCTTAATTGCTTTCACCCATGAACTCTTACTTACAGATTACTAAACCCTTTAGAACTAAGACTTACATTAACCCTTCCATCACCAAGCACAATCAACTGCAGAACATATGACACTCTCCCTTGTTAAAAGTTTCCTGTATTGCAGCAAGAATTGGTATCTGTAAATTTAGGAAACTTATTTTTGGGGTATTTTGTTGGTTTTAGGAAGGGTTTTTTTTTCCTTTATGGCTGCATGGTCACCGTGGCTCCCCCCGAATATGTTTCCTGGAAATGTAAAACGGGGAGGTGCCAGTTACAAGAAAAGGATGTGTTTGAGAGAGGATGAAGAGACAGACCTCTTGAATAATTATGTGCTTTTGGAATATTTACTGTCCTGCTGATTCTCTGTAACATATTGCATTTCTGCTTTATTGGATTTGCATTTCTGTTTCACTGGAAACGTATGGTGCAGTCATACTTCTGGCGTGCTGTTAGCTAAGGCGTTATAGGTAGCGGCAAATGTGTCACTCCACAAGCACAAAACGAAGCTGAAACCATGGTTGCATCCCACCTTTTGTCCCCAGGGCAAACGTGTGCGGATAAAAGTCTCACGGGTGGTTTTCCAGGCTGGTTGCCGGCAAAATGATGTCAACCTTGAGTGTGTGAGTCATCTTGAAGTCTCTTTGTGCCAATGCTGAAAGTGCATGACTGTGCAGGCAGTCCCCAAGTTACAAATATGCACACACACACGGCTTTCATAACATACTTTGTTATGATTCATACTTTGGTGAGATGCCGTCACACCATCAATTTGGCATCGACAATGATGAATCAGGTATTCAACGATTTACCTTCACACCTGTGAGTCTTACCAAGTTCCCAGGAGCCCCCGGTGGCGCAATAGGTTTACCTTTGTGCCGGCAGGACTCAAGATCGACAGGTTCAAATCCGGGGAGAGCACAGATGAGCTCCCTTTGTCAGCTCCTGCTCCTCATGCTTAAGCGGCTGGGGGGGGGGGGGGTGGAAGGGGCCTGAGGCTGTTAGGAATGGTGGGAGTTGAAGTCCAAAACATCCGAAGGGCCCAAGTCGACAAGTTGGAGGTTCAAATCCGGGGAGAGCAGAGATGAGCTCCCTCTGTCAGCTCCTGCTCCTTATGCTTAAGCAGCTAAGGGGAGAAAGGAAGGGGCCTGAGGCTGTTAGGAATGGTGGGAGTTGAAGTCCAAAACACCTGGAGGGTGCAAGTCGACAGGTCGGAGGTTTAAATCCGGGGAGAGCAGAGACGAGCTCCCTCTGTCAGCTCTAGCTCCTCATGCTTAAGCAACTAAGGGGGAAAAGGAAGGGGCCTGAGGCTGTTAGGAATGGTGGGAGTTGAAGTCCAAAACACCTGGAGGGCCCAAATCAACAGGTCAGAGGTTCAAATCCGGGGTGAGCAGAGATGAGCTCCCTCTGTCAGCTCCAGCTCCTCATGCTTATGCGACTGGGGGGAGGAAAGGAAGGAGCCTGAGGCTGTTAGGAATGGTGGTAGTTGAAGTCCATAACACCTGGAGGGCCCAAGTCGACAGGTCAGAGGTTCAAATCCGGGGAGAGCAGAGATGAGCTCCCTCTGTCAGCTCCTGCTCCTCATGCTTAAGCAACTGAGGGGGGAAAAGAAGGGGCCTGAGGCTGTTAGGAATGGTGGGAGTTGAAGTCCAAAACACCTGGAGGGCCCAAGTCAACAGGTCAGAGGTTCAAATCCGGGGAGAGCAGAGATGAGCTCCCTCTGTCAGCTCCTGCTCCTTTTGCTTAAGTGACTGAGGGGGGGAAAGGAAGGGGCCTGAGGCTGTTAGGAATGGTGGGAGTTGAAGTCCGAAACATCCGAAGGGCCCAAGTTGACAGGTTGGAGGTTCAAATTCGGGGAGAGCAGAGATGAGCTCCCTCTGTCAGCTCCTGCTCCTTTTGCTTAAGTGACTGAGGGGGGGAAAGGAAGGGGCCTGAGGCTGTTAGGAATGGTGGGAGTTGAAGTCCGAAACATCCGAAGGGCCCAAGTTGACAGGTTGGAGGTTCAAATTCGGGGAGAGCAGAGATGAGCTCCCTCTGTCAGCTCCAGCTCCTCATGCTTCAGCGACTGACGGGGGGGGGGGGGGGAAGGGGCCTGAGGCTGTTAGGAATGATGGGAGTTGAAGTCCAAAACACCTGGAGGGCCCAAGTTGGCCTGTTCTATACAAATAAACTTACATTAACCAGTTTGACAAGTTAAGGCAAATAAAATAAATGAAAACAATAGAAATCCATGTCCAGAGTTGGATGACAGAAAGCCACGCTTTGACTCGGTGCTGGAATGCCACCGGCATTGGCCCAACTGGTCCTCTAATCTGCTTTCTCTTTCTCAGGTCCACCTGCAGACCAACGAAAGGGAAACATTTCCGCAGCTTCAGGAATCCTCACAGCTGAAGACTGAATCATCAGAAGAGACTTCACGTTTTCAAGACTATGCAATCACACTGTAAACTGAAGCCTTCCATGAGAAGTCTGTCCTCCAAGGTAACCATGCTTGTGATGTCTTTGTGCTGCTCCTCTTAACAGGTGGACGGACCTGAATTGTCTCGAATGGTGTAGAGCAGTGTTTCTCAACCTTCCTAATGCCGCCACCCCTTGATACAGTTCCTCATGTTGTGGTGACTCACAACCATAACATTATTTTCATTGCTACTTTATAACTGCAATTTTGCTACTGTTATGAATCATAATGTAAATATCTGATATGCAGGATGTATTTTCACTCACTGGACCAAATTTGGCACAAATTTGAATACTGGTGGGGTTGTGGGGTGGGATTGATTTTGTCATTTGGGAGTTGTAGTTGCTGGGATTTATAGTTAACCTACAATCAAAGAGCATTCTGAACTCCACAATGGAATTGAACCAAACTTGGCACACAGAACTCCCATGACCAACAGAAAATACTGGAAGGGTTTGGTGGGCATTGGCCTTGAGTTTTGGAGTTGTAGTTCACCTACATCCAAAGAAGACTGGACTCAAACAATGATAGATCTTGACCAAACTTGGCACAAATACTCAAGAGTTGTAGTTCACCTATATCCAAAGAAGACTGGACTCAAAGAATGATAGATCTTGACCAAACTTGGCACAAATACTCAAGAGTTGTAGTTCACCTACATCCAAAGAAGACTGGACTCAAACAATGATAGATCTTGACCAAACTTGGCACAAATACTCAAGAGTTGTAGTTCACCTACATCCAAAGAAGACTGGACTCAAAGAATGATAGGTCTTGACCAAACTTGGCACAAATACTCAAGAGTTGTAGTTCACCTACATCCAAAGAAGACTGGACTCAAAGAATGATAGATCTTGACCAAACTTGGCACAAATACTCAAGAGTTGTAGTTCACCTATATCCAAAGAAGACTGGACTCAAAGAATGATAGATCTTGACCAAACTTGGCACAAATACTCAAGAGTTGTAGTTCACCTACATCCAAAGAAGACTGGACTCAAACAATGATAGATCTTGACCAAACTTGGCACAAATACTCAAGAGTTGTAGTTCACCTATATCCAAAGAAGACTGGACTCAAAGAATGATAGATCTTGACCAAACTTGGCACAAATACTCAAGAGTTGTAGTTCACCTATATCCAAAGAAGACTGGGCTCAAAGAATGATAGATCTTGACCAAACTTGGCACAAATACTCAAGAGTTGTAGTTCACCTATATCCAAAGAAGACTGGACTCAAAGAATGATAGATCTTGACCAAACTTGGCACAAATACTCAAGAGTTGTAGTTCACCTACATCCAAAGAAGACTGGACTCAAAGAATGATAGATCTTGACCAAACTTGGCACAAATACTCAAGAGTTGTAGTTCACCTACATCCAAAGAAGACTGGACTCAAACAATGATAGATCTTGACCAAACTTGGCACAAATACTCAAGAGTTGTAGTTCACCTACATCCAAAGAAGACTGGACTCAAAGAATGATAGATCTTGACCAAACTTGGCACAAATACTCAAGAGTTGTAGTTCACCTATATCCAAAGAAGACTGGACTCAAACAATGATAGATCTTGACCAAACTTGGCACAAATACTCAAGAGTTGTAGTTCACCTACATCCAAAGAAGACTGGACTCAAACAATGATAGATCTTGACCAAACTTGGCACAAATACTCAAGAGTTGTAGTTCACCTACATCCAAAGAAGACTGGACTCAAACAATGATAGACCTTGACCAAACTTGGCACAAATACTCAATATGCCGAAATGTGAACACTGTTGAAGTCTGGGGGAAATAGATCTTGACATTTGGGAGTTGTAGTTGCTGGTATTTATGGTTCACCAACTATCAAAGAGCATTCTGAACTCCACCAACGATGGCACACAAAACTCCCATGACCAACAGAAAATATTGGAAGAATTTGGTGGGCATTGACCTTGAGTTTTGGAGTTGTAGTTCACCTACCTCCAGAGAGAACTGTGGACTCAAACAATGATGGACCTGGACCAAACTTGGCACGGATACTCTATGCCCAAATGTGAACACTGATGGAGTTTGGGGAAAACAGACCTTGACATTTGGGAGTTGTAGTTGCTGGGATTTATAGTTCACCTACAGTCAAAGAGCATTCTGAACTCCACCAATGATGGAATTGAACCAAACTTGGCACACAGAACTCCCATGACCAATAGAAAATACTGAAAGCGTTTGGTGAGCATTGACCTTGGGTTTTGGAGTTGTAGTTCACCTACACCCAGAGAGCACTGTGGACTCAAACCATGATGGACCTGGACCAAACTTGGCACGGATACTCTATGCCCAAATGTGAACACAGATCTTGACGTTTGGGAGTTGTAGTTGCTGGGATTTATAGTTCACCTTCAATCAAAGAGCATTCTGAACCCCACCAATGATAAAATTGGGTCAAACTTCCCACACAGAACCCCCAAAATCAACCCAGGGGTCCCGAACCCCAGGCGGAGAAACGCTGGTTTAACCCATGGCACCACTGGATATTACAAGATATTTTTTTTGCAAGATCAGCCTTTATTATTTCTGGTGTCCCCAGTGGCTGATCAAAAGGTTAGCAATTCAAATCCATGGAGCTGGGTGAGCTCCCATCTGTCAGCCCCAGCTTCTCATGCATGGTTATGAGAGAAGCCTCCCACAGGATGGTAACACATCCGGGCGTCCCCTGGGCAACATCTTTGCAGGAGGCCAATTCTCTCACGCCAGAAGCGACTTGCAGTTTCTCAAGTCGCTCCTGATGTGAAATATAAAAATTCTGCTGAGAAGTTCAAGGGGTCCTGCTCACCTTTCCCTGCTGCCTGTGTTGCCCTTTTGCCCTAGAATTGCTGAGAATTGAGAGTTTCCCCATAAAAGGGGTTTCTAACTTTCTGGAGAAATTGCTTCATAATTTCTCCATCGTCTTCAGTGTTCTATGCATTTCTTTGCAACAATGTGGTCCAGTGGTTTGACTCTGGAGGACAGGGTTCAGTTCCCTCCTTGGCTATAGAAACCCATTTAGATAAGTTGCACCCTCTCGGCCACATAACACCCACGATAAGTTTGCTTTGTTGTGGCCACAACAAATTGAAGCGACACATAAGGCCAAGAACAAATGTTAGAACAGAAAGCGAACCCATTGGCAACTGTTTAAACGACCTGTGCTGTCAGTGAGAAGAAAGGCTTTGAATGGGAGCCCAATGAATTGCTGCTTTAATTGATTAATTACTTTGGCTGTGCCTGTGGAAACTTACTGCTTCAAAGAAGGAACAGACAGGTTTGCTGGCCTGATCTTTTTGGGAATTTCCAGATGCCACTGGAAATGGGATTTCTGTGGTTTATAGAATATCTCCCCAACAGTTGCTCTTTGAAGAGTTTGAAAATTTGGAGCCAAAATGGCAAATTAATTGACCATTCCCTATTTTCTCTTTCCAGCTCAGTGCTCCTGGCTTCTATAGATCTCAGTATCAATAGATTAGAGCAGTGGGTAGTTGTAGGTTTTCCGGGCTATATGGCCATGTTCTAGTGTGGTGGAGGCTCCTCCTTTGGAAGCTTTTAAACAGAGGCTGGATGGCCATCTGTCGGGGGTGATTTGAATGCAATATTCCTGCTTCTTGGCAGAATGGGGTTGGACTGGATGGCCCATGAGGTCTCTTCCAACTCTGATTCTATGATTCTATGATTTTAGAGACATTTTCTCCTGACGTTTCACCTGCATCTATGGCAAGCATCCTCAGAGATAGTGAGATAGTGAGATCTCACTACCTCTGAGGATGCTTGCCATAGATGCAGGCGAAACGTCAGGAGAAAATGTCTCTAGAACATGGCCATATAGCCCGGAAAACCTACAACACCCCAGTGATTCTGGCCATGAAAGCCTTTGACAATAGATTAGAGCAGTGTTTCTCAACCTTCCTAATGCTGTGACCCATTAATACAGTTCCTCATGTTGTGGTGACCCCCAACCATAACATTATTTTCATTACTACTTTCATAACTGTAATTTTGCTCCTGTTATGAATCGTAATGTAAATATCTTATATGCAGGATGTATTTTCATTCACTGGACCAAATTTGGCACAAATACCCAATACGCCCAAATTTGGTGGGGTTGGGGGGGATTGATTTTGTCATTTGGAAGTTGTAGTTGCTGGGATTTGTAGTTAACCTACAATCAAAGGGCATTCTGAACTCCACCAACGATGGAATTGAACCAAACTTGGCACACAGAACTCCCATGACCAACAGAAAATCCTGAAAGGGTTTGGTGGACATTGACCTTGCATTTTGGAGTTGTGGTTTACCTACATCCAGAGAGCACGGTGGACTCAAACAATGTTGGATTTATAGTTCACCTACAATCAAAGGGTGTTCTGAACTCCACCAGTGATGGACTTGAACCAAACTTGGCACATAGAACTCCCAAGGCTAACAGAAAATATTGGAACGGTTTGGTGGGCATTGACCTTGAGTTTTGGAGTTGTAGTTCACCTACCTCCAGAAAGCACTGTGGACCCAAACAATGATGGATCTGGACCAAGCTTGGCACAAATACTCAATCTGCCCAAATGTGAACACTGGTGGAGATTCAGGAAAATAGACCTTGACATTTGGGAGTTGTAGTTGCTAGGATTTATAGTTCACCTACAATCAAAGAGCATTCTGAACTCCACCAACAGTGGAATTGAACCAAACTTGGCACACAGAACTCCCATGACCAACAGAAAATACTGGAACGGTTTGGTGGGCATTGACCTTGAGTTTTGGAGTGTTAGTTCACCTACCTCCAGAGAGCACTGTGGACTCAAACAATGTTGGATGTGGACCAGACTTGGCACGAAGACTCAATATGCCCAAATGTGAATGCTGGTGGAGTTTGGGCAAAATAGACCTTGACATTTGGAAGTTGTAGCTGGGGTTTATAGTTAAACTACAATCAAATAGCATTCTGAACCCCACCAACGATACAATTAGGCCAAACTCCCTGCACAGAATCCCCATGACTAACAGAAAATACTGTGTTTTCTGATGGTCTTTGGTGACCCCTCTGATACCCCCTTGTGACCCCCCCAGGGGTCATGACCCCTAGGTTGAGAAACCCTACATTAGAGGCTGGTTCCTGTCCAGATTTACACCTGAAACCAATTATCATTCTCTAGTTACATATGTATTTGTCTGTGACTGGCATTCTGTTGCTCAGTTCCAACTAGAATTGTTGTTGCTGTGCGCACTGCCTTCAGGTCATTTGTGATTTATTGTGATCTGATTGTGAACAATCATGACGAGAAAGCTTATCTCACCCAGAGTTCAGAGAAATATGGAATGTATTTTCCCAGTAGGGAGTTGTTCTGTGCCTTTGAGTTGCTTCTGACTTATGGTGACCTTAAGGCAAACTTGTGGTGGGTTTTCTCAGCAATTCAGGATTTTGGGAATTTATATTTTTCACTAACATTTCTAGACTTATGTATGTGTCTTCCTACCTGCCGTTCCAGGGAGTGACCTGCAGCAGCTTTCTTCTCTTCCTCCTCCTGGATCTGTCCCAGTCCTTCTCCCAGCCCACCTACCCATGGAAGGATCCCCACACGCGTGAGAGGCTCGAGTGCCAGCAGTGCCCGCCTGGGAAATACGTGTCACGTCATTGCACCCGAGAGAGCAAGACGGAGTGCAAAACTTGCCCAGACCTGCACTACACAGAATACTGGAACTACCTCGACAGCTGTCTTTATTGCAACGTCTTCTGTAATTACATGGAAGAGGAGGCCCAGCCTTGCAATGTCACCCAGAACCGGGTCTGCAGGTGCAAGCCGGGCTATCACTCGGAGCAGGATTTCTGTATAAAGCACTCCAAGTGTCCGCCAGGAAGCGAGGTCGCTGAGCTGGGTATGTATTGTATTGTAGCCGGAGATACAGTTCCCTTGACTTCCCCTACTCGGAATAGTCCTGGTTTGCTTGCTTTATAGTTATAGTATCTTAGAGGTGAAAGAGGGCCATCCAGTCCAGTCTTCTGGTACACACAATCAAAGCACTCCCAACAGATGGCCATCCAGCCTCTGCTTGAAAACTTCCAGAGAAGTAGACTCTGCTACTGAACAGGTCTTACTCTCAGGAAGCAGGCACATCAAATCACTCTCAATAAAAGATTCCCCCCAGGCACTTCCAAGCCATTAAATGCTAATCAAGGTGGTCAGTTGAAACATTCACACCTAGCTCCAGCAGACAAAAGTCCTTTGTCCCACCCTGGTCATTCCACAGATATATAAACCCATTTTCCTACTTCCAACAGACCTCAATACCTCTGAGGATGCTTGCCACTGATGCTGGTGAAACGTCAGGAGAGAATGCCTCTAGAACATAGCCATATAGCCCAAAAAAACCTACAACAACCCAGTGATTCCGGCCATGAAAGCCTTCAACAATACAATGAACACAGAAAACTTCCAAGATATATTAAATCCAAAATCAAAGCTTGCCTTGAACCAGGAACAAGAGAACTCAGGCTTTGTTTCTCACTCTAACACAGTGTTGCCTGAACTGATTAAGATCCTGTGGTATCCAGTTGGCTTTTCTAGATGCTGAGGTCCAATTTAAACGGTGGTATATCTGCTTTAATAATAGTGGTGATCATGATGGTGATGGTGATGATTTGCTACCTACGCCTTGAGGGGGAAAAGGAAGGGGCCTGAGGCTGTTAGGAATTGTGGGTGTTGCAGTCCAAAACACCTGGAGGGCCCAAGCTTACCCATGCCTGGTATAAACAGTATTTTTTTGGTACAAGAGGAAAAGTTGAACACACACTCCTATCTTCACCTATGTAGTGTTAGGTGAGTTGCAAAGTGCTAAAATACCTCTTTCTGGCAAGGAACGATTAATAAGTCAGGGGACTAAAGGTGTCACCTGCTGTAAATGTGATTAATTACCATTTCTTTGGATAGTTTTAGACCCTCAAAGCAAATATGTTTCTGAGATCCAGGAGGAAGCCGGGCATAGTATGTGCCCGCTCTCTGTTGTTCTGGCTCAATAGCAAAACAAATGGAAGTCTTGGCCATGAAAGGCTTTAGCAGATCTGGCAAAAGCATTGGAGACCATTCATTATTTTGACGCAAGTAGAACTAGCAAATGCAGCGGGTGCAAAGCTGCGGGCTGCATAGGGAAAATGATGGCTGGGCCTTTTTTTGTATCCTGAAATCTTGCCCGAATTTTGCAAAGCATACGTTGCACTGGGAGGCAGCCAACATTGCAGTGGTCATCCCAGGATTTGATTTTGAAAGAAAAGCAATTGCCTAACAAGCCAAATCAAGACACACTTGGGATAGTGCAGAGTAGCTGATAACAGATTTGCTGACTTGAGAAGCAGAAAATAATTCATTAGTCTGTGAGGGAGGGCAAGGGTTATGAGAGCAGACCACAAATAGATCATTCTAACACATTCTCTTCCCTGCGGTTTGCTGAGGACTCGAGCAGAGGAGTATTTCCCCTTCCCACAATAAATATAATGCAAGAAGGGCATTTTTAAAAAAATGCTGAGGAAATTCCCTACTGATCCTCATTGATTCCCAACAGGGACCTGAACATGTATTTTATTATTTATCGTGTCAGGGGCAACCAGACCATTGTATTACATTTCTAACAGAACAAAACAAACAAACAGATAAAAAAACACAAGTTTGCAAGCTTGGTAGTTGATTAAATGTCCTTTGACCAGTATCTGGCCACTTGGAGTGCCTCTGGTGTTGCCGCAAGGTCCTCCATTGTGCATGTGGCAGGGCTCAGGGTGCATTGCAGCAGGTGGTCAGTGGTTTGCTCCTCTTCTCCACACTCGCATGTCGAGGATTCCACTTTGTAGCCCCATTTCTTAAGGTTGGCTCTGCATCTCGTGGTGCAGAGCGCAGTCTGTTCAGCGCCTTCCAAGTTGCCCCATCTTCTTCTGTGTGCCCAGGGGGGAGTCTCTCATTTGGTATCAGCCATTGATTGAGGTTCTGGGTTTGAGCCTGCCACTTTTAGACTCTCGCTTGCTGAGGTGTTGCAGCGAGTGTCTCTGTCGATCGCAGAAGCGACCAGCAATAATAATAATAATAATAATAATAATAATAATAATAATAATAATAACATTCTTTATACCCCGCCACCATCTCATGAAGGGACTCGGGACAGCTCACAAAGCACTCAAAGGTGCAAACACTTAAAACACAAAAAGTGCAAGGACAATAACACAAAAGCAATAACAACCAACATAAATATCACCAAAACCCCATTGGTTAAGATCAGTAAAATGCAACAATAGCTGCAGGAATAAAACAATTGCAATCAATATCAGGCTCATAAAGTGCATGGTGAAATAATCTCTAGGTCCTCAAATGTGTTCATTAAGGGATTCTAAACACAGCATCATTTTGGCGCCAGAAGGAAACCTGCACTGGTGACCAATTGGATCTCTATAGGGAACATCATCATCATCCTCAAAATCGAACTGCAAAGGCTCTGGCATCAACCAGTACAGTCCCAGTGGTCATTGGCGCACTGGGTGCCGTGCCAAAAGATCTCAGCCGGCATTTGAAAACAATAAACATCGACAAAATCACGATCTGTCAGCTGCAAGAGACCACCTGACTTGGATCTGCATGCATCATTCCCCCAGCAAGTTTGCAGATCTTCAGGTTTGGGATTATCTTTCCCTTTTATTTCTAAGGGATTTCAGGGAGAAGCCAGTTTACCAGCTGTTAGGATTTCTGGGAGTTGAAGGCCAAAACATCTGGGGATCCACAGGTTGAGAACCACTGCTCTAAGGGATTTCAGGGAGAAGCTCTAAGAGGGTCACTTGCCCAAAATGGCAGGAATGCCTGCTGTTGAGCAAGGAGTTGGTTGCAGGTCCTTTCCAGGCAAAGATAAGCTCTAAAGTTAGTTATCCTACAACATCTTTCGTCAGCCTTGGATCAGTTCTTTCATCCCTGAGATTCTTCATCATTGAGTGTCTCCAGGCGGCTTGTAATGCTGTGTTCCTTGAAAGTAAAGATATGGAGTTCCTAGAAGTTGTATCCTTTTGCCCAAGGAACACTCTGTGCCGCAGTTGCTTGACAGGATGGGAAGGAAGTGGATTTCGTAGACTCTTGGGATTTTTCTTGGGCTGAGTGCTAGCGTTATAATAAACTAGTTCTTGCTCCACATCCAGCACAGAGTGTTCTTGCAAAGTACATGGCTTACACTCATGAGTCAGGGGTTAAACGGGCAGCAATCGTATATGGCTTTCAAGATTGTATTCACTTTCATAATTGTGACCGCAACCACCATCACTTTTGCTTTTCTTTTTGGCTCGGGAAGTTCCGGAAGTTTGGAAGTGATCTCCTTCTCTGGCTGTGAATCTGCCATGAGCAGCTCGACCTCTCGCGTCCCACATGTTTCCTTTTTTTCTGAGTGTTTACATGTCTTTTGAATGTTGGCCAGGAAGTGCTTAGATCTGAGGAAAGCCTTCTGTTGCACTTGGCACTCATTTCTGGTGAGGCTCTTGCAGATAAAGCGCCGAGCGCATGGATTTCTAAACACAGAGCATTGCTCTGTAGTTCCGTCCTTTTAAGAAATATTGGGGTCCTTTGACAAAGTGGGAGACCCATTAGCAAAGGGATGGGGAACACTTTGCCCTCAGGATCTTGTTGATTTACAAATCCCACCAGCTCTGCCACAAATCCAAAGTTGCTTAAAATGGTGAGACGTTTTCCTGGAAGCTGTTCAAAAACATGTCCAAAGAAGAGGGACTAAAATGGTCAGAGATATGGAAGCCAAGCCTTATGCGGAGTGGCTTAGCAAGCAAGACATGTTTAACTTAGCAAAGGTTATGTGAGGACATGCTAGCCTTGTTTACGTATTTGAAATGATGTACAATTCAAGGGATGAGCAGCTTGCTTTCTATTGCTATAGAGACTATTGCTATTTATTTATCATGCCAGGGGCAACCAGACCATTGTATTACATTTCTAACAGAACAAAACAAACAAACATAAAAAACACAAAGTTTGCAAGCTTGGTAGTTGATTAAATGTCCTTTTTTGGGGGGGGGGTAAATTTTTATTAGGTTATTATAAACTACTACTACAACGAAAGAGGGAGAATAATATGAAGAAGATAGAAAAGTAGGAAAAAAGCAAAAAGCAAAGAATATACATAACCCCAGTACTCTCAAAAAAAGAAAAAAGAGAGCAACAGGGGGGGAAAAAAAAAACAACAACAAAAAAAAACAAAAAAAAACACAAAAGTTTGGACCTCCTTCCGGCTCTGCCCCTGTGTCCATCTTTTTCAATATCTTCATACTTCTAAGTTTGTTACCTGTTTCTATAATTACTTGTCCTTGGACCAAAATGTCCTTTCACCAGTATCTGGCCTCTGGTGTTGCCGCAAGAAGGTCCTCCATTGTGCATGTGGCAGGGCTCAGGTTGCATTGCAGCAGGTGGTCAGTGGTTTGCTCTTCTCCACACTCGCATGTCGTGGATTCCACTTTGTGGCCCCATTTCTGGTTGGCTCTGCATCTCGTGGTGCCAGAGCGCAGTCTGTTCAGCGCCTTCCAAGTCGCCCAGTCTTCTGTGTGCCCAGGGGGGAGTCTCTCATCTGGTATCAGCCATGAATTGAGGTGCTGGGTTTGAGCCTGCCACTTTTGGACTCTCGCTTGCTGAGGTGTTCCAGCGAGTGTCTCTGTAGATCTTAGAAAACTATTTCTTGATTTAAGTCATTGACTTGCTGGCTGATACCCAAACAGGGGATGAGCTGGAGATGTCACTGCCTTGGTCCTTTCACTATTGGTTGCTACTTCCCGGCGGCTGTCAGGTGGTGCAATACCGGCTAAGCAGTGTAATTTCTCCAGTGGTGTAGGGCGCAGACACCCCGTGATAATGCGGCATGTCTCATTAAGAGCCACATCCACTGTTTTAGTGTGGTGAGATGTGTTCCACACTGGGCATGCATACTCAGCAGCAGAGTAGCATAGCGCAAGGGCAGATGTCTTCACTGTGTCTGGTTGTGATCCCCAGGTTGTGCCAGTCCGCTTTCGTATGATGTTGTTTCTAGCGCCCACTTTTTGCTTGATGTTCAGGCAGTGCTTCTTGTAGGTCAGAGCACGGTCCAGAGTGACTCCCAGGTATTTGGGTGCGCTGCAATGCTCCAGTGGGATTCCTTCCCAGGTATCCTCAGAGCAGGATGCTTGTCTGTTCTTAAGGTGAAAGGCACATGTCTGTGTTTTAGGTGGGTTAGGGATCAGAGACTAGGAAAAGGAGCACAGAATTCAAATTGCAGTAAAACAGATTCCACTTAAACATTAGGAAGAACTTCTGACAGTAAGAGCTGCTCAGTAATGGAATGCGTGGACTCCACTTTGTAGCCCCATTTCTTAAGGTTAGCTCTACATCTCATAGCGGCAGAGAGTAGTCTGTTCAGCGCCTTCCAAGTTGCCCCCTCTTCTGTGTGAGAGCTTCTCATTTGGTATCATCCCCTGATTGAGGTTCTGGTTTTAGCCTGCCACTTTTGGACTCTCGCTTGCTGAGGTGTTCCTGCAAGTACCTCTGTAGATCTTAGAAGCTATTTCTTGATTTGGCTTGCTGGCTGATACCCAAACAGAGGGCCGGAGATGTTAAATTCAAACAGAGGCTGAATGGCCATTTTTCAAGGGTACGTGAAAGGATGCCATAAGGAAGAGGGAGTAGGCTTGTTTTCTGCTGCCCTAGAAACTATGACTTGGAGCAATGGGTTCAAATGACAGGAAAGGAGATTCCATCTGAACATTAGGAAGAACGTCCTGATTGTAAGAGCTGTTCAGCAGTGGAACTCTCTGCCTTGGAATATGGTGGAAGCACTTTCCTTGGAAACTTTTAAACAGAGGCTGGATGGCTGTCTGTCAGGGGTGCTTTGAATATGCTTTTCCTGCATAGCAGGGAGTTGGACTAGATGGCCCATGTGGTCTCTTCTCATTCTATTATTATATGATTCCATTTACATAGATGCTGGATGGCCATCTGTTGTGAGTGCTTGAATTGTGTATTACCACATGGCAGAAAGGTGCTAGACCGGATGGCTTTTATGGTCACTTCCAACTATGATTTCCGTGTACCGTCAAAGGTTTTCATGGCTGGAATCACTGGGTTGTTGTAGGTTTTTCTGGCTATATGGCCATGTTCTACAAGCATTCTCTCCTGACGTTTCACCTGCATCTATGGCAAGCATCCTCAGAGGTTGTAGGTTCTGATTTCCATGTGTTGGTGATATTTCTGACTCAGTTTCCAAAATTTTGAGTGTTCTTTGGAGAAAGCTATAAGTGTTGTTGTTGTTGTATTGTCAAAGGCTTTCATGGCCGGAATCACTGGGTTGTTGTAGGTTTTTCGGGCTATATGGCCATGTTCTAGAAGCATTCTCTCCTGACATTTCACCTGCATCTATGGCAAGCATCCTCAGAAGTTGGGAGGTCTGATTTCCATGTGTTGGTGATATTTCTGACTCACTTTCCAAAATGTTGAGTGTTCTTTGGAGAAAGCTATAAGTGTTGTTGTTGTTGTATTGTCGAAGGCTTTCATGGCCAGAATCGCTGGGTTGTTGTAGGTTTTTTCGGGCTATATGGCCATGTTCTAGAGGCATTCTCTCCTGACGTTTCGCCTGCATCTATGGCAAGCATCCTCAGAGGTAGTGAGGATGCTTGCCATAGATGCAGGCGAAACGTCAGGAGAGAATGCCTCTAGAACATGGCCATATAGCCCGAAAAAACCTACAACAGCCCACTGTTGTTGTTGTTGTCGTCAATGTTGTTAGGCACTGATGATACAGTATTCTGCAGCCATATGAAGGCTACACTTCCTCAAAACCTTCAAGGAAAGTCACAATAGGCAACTTTCGTTAAGGTTAGCTCTACTATGGCACTGGAATTTATTTTTTAACATTTTCCATACCCCACTTGTAATTGCAATGTATAGAGAAGTTCTGCTTGCTGATAAAGAGGGAAGGAAAAGGGAATTGTGTGGAACCTTCAAGGCTGGACAGTTTATTTCATAGCAAACTTTTGGGTGCTGCAATCCAGTCTGACACCTTTCCTGTCCTCATTGTTGTCCCTTGCAGGCAATCCGTATGAGGACACGAAATGCAAGGAGTGTCCTCAGGGGACCTTCTCCTCCACCTCCAGCATGAACCCATGTCAACCGCACCGGAACTGTTCTGCGCAAGGCCTGGAACTCAACGTCCCCGGCAACCAGTTTCATGATACATTGTGCACTGCTTGTAAACTGAAGAAGCCCAACGGGACTGCTGATGGATTAGAAGATTGGCTAGGTAAGGCATATTTATCCAAGTCAAAGAGACACATATTTTTGGTAAATTGGCATTTATAACCTTTTGGGAGAAGCAGGAATCTCCCCAGGCTTTTGGAAGCGTGATTCTTTTTTAGATTAATTGGTATTCACACTATTTTGAATTTATTTATTTATTTATCGTGTCATCAGCAGCCATTGTATTACAATTCTAACAGAGCAAAGCAAACACACAGATTAAAAAGAAAAAGGGAAAAAAACACACAGATTTTGCAGATTTGGTATTTGGTTAAATGTTCTTTGACCAGTATCTGGCCACTTGGAGTGCCTCTGGGGTTGCCGCAAGAAGGTCCTCCATTGTGCATGTGGCAGGGCTCAGGTTGCATTGCAGCAGGTGGTCAGTGGTTTGTTCTTCTCCGCACTCGCATGCCGAGGATTCCACCCTGTAGCCCCATTTCTCAAGATTGGCTCTGCATCTCGTGGTGCCAGAGCGCAGTCTGTTCAGCGCCTTCCAAGTCGCCCAGTCTTCTGTGTGCCCAGGGGAGTCTCTCATCTGGTATCACCCATGGATTGAGGTGCTGGGTTTGGGCCTGCCACTTTTGGACTCTCACTTGCTGGGGTGTTCCAGCTAGTGTCTCTGTAGATCTAAGAAAACTATGTCTTGATTTAAGTCGTTGACGTGCTGGCTGATACCCAAACAGGGGATGAGCTGGAGATGTCTCTGCCTTGGTCCTTTCACTATTGGCTGCTACTTCCCGGCGGATGTCAGGTGGTGCAATACCGGCTAAGCAGTGTAATTTCTCCAGTGGTGTAGGGCGCAGACACCCTGTGATAATGCGGCATGTCTCATTAAGAGCCACATCCACTGTTTTAGTGTGGTGAGATGTGTTCCACACTGGGCATGCATACTCAGCAGCAGAGTAGCATAGCGCAAGGGCAGATGTCTTCACTGTGTCTGGTTGTGATCCCCAGGTTGTGCCAGTCAGCTTTCGTATGATGTTGTTTCTAGCGCCCACTTTTTGTTTGATGTTCAGGCAGTGCTTCTTGTAGGTCAGAGCATGGTCCAAAGTGACTCCCAGGTATTTGGGTGTGTTGCAATGCTCCAGTGGGATTCCTTCCCAGGTAATCCTCAGAGCTTGGGATGCTTGTCTGTTCTTAAGGTGAAAGGCGCATGTCTGTGTTTTAGATGGATTAGGGATCAGTTGGTTTTCCCTGTAATAGGCAGTAAGAGCACCTAGAGCTTCGGAGAGCTTCTGTTCAACCATCTCAAAGCTCCCTGCTTGAGCGGTAATGGCACGATCATCAGCATAGATGAAACTCTCTGTCCCTTCTGGCAGTGGCTGGTCATTTGTGTAGATGTTGAACATGGATGGAGCAAGCATGCTCCCCTGAGGCAGGCCGTTTGAATAATCTTTTGGAAAGGCATGGCCTTGTTAGAAATCACAACCTTTTGTAAAGTGTGATCTTCCTGAGAAGAGTTAAAACCTCACTTGAGTTAATCTTCACCTTTGTGGTAAATATCCACTAGTATTCATGCAAGGCAATTTCGGTTTCTCAGCTGTTAGACTGAGATTCCTGGATATCTCTTTGAACTGTCAGGAACAAAGATATGCCAATGCATAAAAAACAGCAGAGTTTCAGAAGTGTTATTTCAGTTGCCCAAAAACATCTACTCTCTCTTTTAAGCCATGCTCTCAAGAGACAAAAATAAGTAGTATTCATTAAAAGTAACATAGTTGGTTTACTCCCAAACTTCATGTATTCAACATGTAAGTATTTTGCTTATCAATCCAGTTATAGATAGGATTTGAAGTGGTTTCTCTGTGCAGATAACACAGGGCATCTTTCTTAGAATCTTAACAGTCCAAAATCTAAAGTGACACGGATGGAGTACTTCCTCATTCTTTTGCACACTGATGGACAATCTTAAGGTCCTAGGTGGTTTGTAGCAGGAGATATGTTCAGACAGGTAAACTGGGCCAGAACCATTAAGTTCCAAACAGATATTGTATTTTCTTCCTTAAATAAAGAAACATTGTGTTGACTTCCTTAACTTAAATAATTAATTGTATTTGACTATGTAAACATGTTGTTTTCAACCACAGCTGAACAGGTCAGTAATGTCAGCAGTTCTCGCCAGCAACTTTTTATCACAGTTCAGCAGTTCATGAATTCTCCTCTTTTGTTTTTTCCATAATGCCATTTTATTTACTTACTAGCCATCCCCTTCCATGCGTTACTGTGCCCCACATGGGGGTTCTGTGTGGGAGGCTTGGCCCAATTCTATTGTTGGTGGGGTTCAGAATGCTTTGTGATTGTAGGTGAACTATACATCCCAGCAACTACAACTCCCAAATGTCAAGATTCTATTTCCCCAAACTCCACCAGTGTTCACATTTGGACATATTGAGTATTTGTGCCAAGTTTGGTCCAGATATATAATTGTTTGAGTCCACAGTACTCTCTGGGTGGAGGTGAACTACAACTCCAAAACTCAAGGTCAATACCCACTAAACCCTTCCAGTATTTTCTGTTGGTCATGGGAGTTCTGTGTGCCAAGACTGGTTCAATTCCATCGTTGGTAGAGTTCAGAATGCTCTTTGATTGTAGGTGAACTATACATCCCAGCAACTACAACTCCCAAATGACAAAATCAATTTCTTTGAGTGAAGGACATACATTGGGTTGTTAGGTGTATCGTGCCCAAATTTGGTGTCAATTCCTCCAGTGGACATTATATTTTTATTTATATAGATTTTAGACCTCGGTCTTCTTAGGATGGTGTTTTCAGTCTCGGCAGGCCTTAATATGTCCTTGCCAAATCCCAATCATACACTTCATACAATTTCATTCAATCCATACATCACATTTATCCCATTTGATAATGTTTTGATGGTTTCCCCTCCTCTCCTTTCTCCAGGGAATGAAGAGTGCCAAGATGCCTTCATTGACTTCGTACCATACAATATTAAGTCAGTCAAAAGGCTGCGGTGCCTGAACCGTATGTTCGGCAAGAGCTCCCGTTTGGCCAGCAATGCGAGAAAGAGCCGCCTACAGTTCCAGGCTGAGCTCCATGCGCGTCTCACCGTGCTCAAGGACCGGGGGAGAAAGCACCAGCTGCTGGAAATATTGCGAGACGTCTACCGGCATAAAATCCTCCGCTATCCGCATAACAAGTGTTTCTTCTTGTGAGATTAACAATGCAATCCTATGTACATCTTTTTGGGAGTGAGTGCTCTTGACTTCAGTGGAACTTACTCCCAAGAATGGTGCATATAAAGGATTGCAACATAAATGTGCTGTTATTTTGTAGAATCATATTGTTGGAAGAGACCACAAGAACGAACTAGTCCAACTCCAATGCAGGAAAACCCAATCAAAGCCTCCAGAGATGGAGACTAACACACTCCAAGGCAGTTACACATTCCGCTGTTGAACAGCTCTTATGGTCAGAAAGTTCCTCCTAATGTTTAGGTGGAATCGCTTTTCGTGCAATTTTAATTCATTTGAACCCACTTCTTTGTCTTCTGGTTTCTATTTATTAATGTAAACAAGTGACCAAAAGACACAGAGTCAACAACAACAACAACATGACGCGCCGGTTGAAATTTCAATGTTTAAAAAAGCAAGAAAAGAGTGGTACGGATATTCCTCTCTTCTCTTCACCTGACCTACCTCAGAGGAAATGGTGTTATGAAAGCAGAACTAACAAACACATTTGTTTTTTTATATAAATATATTTTTTCAAAATGTATTTTGGTTCTTTGGTTTTGTATAACCTTTATTTTATATAGAGGGAGGGCAATAAAGATTTTACCACATTCTTATGTCTGGCTTCCTCCTTGCAATTGCTTATTTTTATGGTATAAGAAGCGAACCAAGAGTACAGTTGTACTGTCTTTAAGGACACAAACAAAGTTGAAAAACTTGGCATTACACTAAATGTATTGTCGAAGGCTTTCATGGCCGGAATCACTGGGTTGCTGTAGGTTTTTTCGGGCTGTATGATCATGGTCTAGAGGCATTCTCTCCTGACGTTTCGCCTGCATCTATGGCAAGCATCCTCAGAGGTAGGGAGGTCTGTTGGATGTTCTTCACAAGAAGACAATGGATTCCCACCAATACAAAAAACACAAATCCACTAAAAGTTGTGGTACATGAATGACAAAGGTCAATATTGCCTAACAGTTTGTATATTACAATATTCAACAAACGACAAATTTATATGGTATAGGCAAAAAACAGTGTATAATGAACAACCAGTTGTTTACAAAGATTACACATACATAACATAAATAGTCTTTTTTGGTGTAAAGACAACTTGTCTTCAGGGCATAGGATCCCTTGCTTTAGAGTAAGCATAATGCAAAGAGTCTTTCTTGGTGTAAAACCAACTTCTCTTCAGGGCATAGGATCCCTTGCTTTAGAAAATTTTCCGTTCCTTATACACGGATATCCACATCCACGACCATTCATCTCTCTAATCTGTCAAGATCGTTTTGAATCCTGCTCCTGTCCTCTGGAGTATTGGCTATCCCTCCCCATTTGGTGTCGTCTGCAAACTTGATGGTCCTGCCTTCTAGCCCTTCATCTAAGTCGTTAATAAAGATGTTGAACAGGACCGGGCCCAGGACGGAACCCTGCGGCACTCCGCTCGTCACTTTCCAAGATGAAGAGGAAGCATTGGGGAGAATCACCCTCTGGGTTCGTCCACTTAACCAATTCCAGATCCACCTCACCGTAGTTTTGCCTCGCCCACATTGGACTAGTTTCCTTGCCAGAAGGTCATGGGGGACCTTGTCGAAGGCCTTCCTGAAATCCAGGTACGCTACATCCACGGCATTCTCTCTGTCCCTTCTGGCAGTGGCCGATCATTTGTGTAAATGTTAAACATTGATGGAGCAAGCACTCTCCCCTGAGGCATGCCATCCTGTTTTTCCCATCTGTTTCTCTGGCCCTAGAATTCAACAAAAAAGCTCCTCTATTGTAGCAGATTTCCTGTTAACCAGGTGAGGTGGTAGTCCTTTGTGATATTATAAGTTATTATGAATTATTATTAATAGTAGTAGTAGATGTATTGTCGAAGGCTTTCATGGCTGGAATCACTAGGTTCTTGTAGGTTTTTTTGGGCTATAGGGCCTCACTACCTCTGAGGATGCTTGCCACAGATGCAGGCGAAACGTCAGGAGAAATGCCTCTAGAACATGGCCCTATAGCCCGAAAAAACCTACAAGAACCTAGTAGTAGTAGATGTTGCTGCATCTTCTCTGAGGGGAATTTTTACAACCAGACATGGATTTCCAGGAAACCACTCTTTGGCTGAGGAGCTGACCGCATACCTTCAGGCCACGGGGTGTGTCTGAAGTTGACAAATGCCAATTTCAACATGTGTTTACAAGGGAACCGCAGCAGCTTAGAAGAAACGCCAGGGCAAACCATGTAACGCAAACAGAAACTTCCTTGTTTCTAAAATTAATTTGATCTGTTACGTGGCAAGTGAGCTAAAAATAGTCTAAACAGAAACTCTGCACCAATTCCAAGGTAATAAGACATAATGAAATTCCATTCTTGAGAGTATCAGAGTAATCTACATTGTTGAATTAATGCCGTTTGGTACTATTTGACTACCATGGCTCAATTCTATTGAATACTAGTAATTGTAGAGGAGTCAATGTTATGGAATTAAGGATGTTTTTCAAGGTCTTTGGTCTTCTCTGCCAAAGAGCGCTGGCTTGGAAGGTGGGATTGGTGCTGCCTGGGAAAGTGGTGGAGTCCCATTCTCTGGAGGTTCTAAAGCAGAAGCTGGATGGCCATCTGTCTGGAATATTTTGATGGTGTCTTCCTGCCTGGCAGAAATGTGTTGGACTGAGTGGCCCTTGGGATCTCTTTCATTGCCAGTGCCACCTTTGAAAACTGGTTCTCTTCTGGAAAGCAGAAAAAGCCAGTGTCAGGGGTCCTGTCAGGAGAAAGAATTTCCCATCTTCCACCTAAGGTTAGCTTAATGGAGGGGCAGCCCCATAGAATCATTGTGGGAAATTAAGGGTTATATCATATGGAGGTGGAAACCAACACAGTAGCAAGGCCATCGTCTTTGGTGGCAATCCCCATTTCATGTCATTGTGCAATAACTTATTTTTACTTACGTACTTACTTAGGCGATCCCTCGTTTCCCGAGGAGGATTGTCTTCCAATATTCTTGTGGGTCCATATGTGGCTGTGGAGCCTTATTCTTGCTCTACATCTTCTTCCACAGAGAGGGCATTGGTTTCCAGGTGGAAGGCGGTCTCGGTCGGGGTTGGCTTGATGCACCTTCCTCTTGGCACGCTTCTCCCTTTCGCCCTCCATTCGTGCCTCTTCAAATTCTGCAACACTGCTGGTCACAGCTGACCTCCAGCTGGAGCGCTCAAGGGCCAGGGCTTCCCAGTTCTCAGTGTCTATGCCAAAGTTTTTAAGGTTGGCTTTGAGACCATCTTTAAATCTCTTTTCCTGTCCTCCAACATTCTGTTTTCCATTCTTGAGTTCGGAGTAGAGCAACTGCTTTGGGAGACGGTGGTCGGGTATCCGGACAACGTGGCCGGTCCAGCGGAGTTGGTGGCAGAGGACCATCGCTTCAATGTTGGTGGTCTTTGCTTCTTCTAGCACGCTGACATTTGTCCGCCTGTCTTCCCAAGAGATTTGCAGGATTTTCCAGAGGCAGCGCTGATGGAATCGTTTCAGGAGTTGCATGTGACGTCTGTAGACTGTCCACGTCTCACAGGCATATAGCAGGGTTGGGAGGACAATAGCTCTATAAACAAGCACCTTGGTATCCCTACGGATGTCCCAGTCCTCAAACACTCTCTGCTTCATTAGGAAAAATGCTGCACTTGCAGAGCTCAGGCAGTGTTGTATTTCGGTGTTGATGTTGACTTTGGTGGAGAGGTGGCTGCCAAGGTAGCGGAAATGATCAACATTTTCTAATGTTACACCACTAAGTAGTATCACTGGCATTGGAGAGGGGTTGGCTGGTGACTGCTGGAACAGCACTTTGGTTTTCTCTATATTCAATGACAGGCCGAGCTTCTTGTATGTTTCTGCAAAGGTGTTTAGAGTGGCTTGTAGATCTTCTTCTGAATTAAGGGTTATATCATATGGAGGTGGAAACCAACACAGTAGCGGGACCATCAGCTTTGGTGGCAATCCCTATTTCATGTCATTGTGCAATACCCATGGCTAGTCCACCACATCCCCTCAAGGAAGCCATTGGGCGCTATTCATGGACAAAGCCCATCATCATGAGTGATCCCTCAGCCTAGGACTGGACCTTTTCCAAAGTAGTCTGTGCAGTTTTTATTTCCTTTCTATTCTGGTGTGTGTGTGTGTGTGTTTCCTCCTTCTGTATCTATATTGGTTTAGTTCAAAACATTGAAGTTCTTATGGTGATGGGAGTCATGCAATGAGGAAGACTTGTCATTTTCCCCTAATTAAAATATATGACTGGCATTTATACTGGGAGTGTCTGGGGAAAGTGGTACATTTCCCCATCATGGCTTACTGGTTGATTTGAGAGGGAAATCAATCTGATTTCCCACCATGGTCTTTTCATTAAGGAAATGGAACGTAAGGAGAGTTTCCCCAAATGGAGAGTTTCCCCAAAAAGGTCATGTTTGATCTAACCAGGAAACATATGTGCCAATGCTTATCCATATTTGACCCAGATAATATTTGCATTGCAGATCAAAGTAGTTTTATGACTTCCCTTGAAATAGGCATTATACTGTTTTAGAAGCAGCCTAAGGTCACATTGGCTTTTAAAGTGCCGCATCCCAATTTGCTCCATTGTCTATCTGGCGTCGCTTCAGATATCTTTTTCCCCAAATTGAGACTTGGGATCTCTTTTCAGTTACCAGTATATATATACGCCGCTTCCTAAGCAGCTTCTGATAGGCTTGATTTTCAGATTTCGGCTGCTTCTTTCTGGTTTTGTTATTTTTTGTTTGAGGACTGGGACATCCATAGGGATACCAAGGTGATGTTTATAAAGCTACTACCTGTCCCCTGCCACGCATTGCTGTGGCCCAGTCTGTTGATCTGGAAAATAAAGTAATGAGAAAATGTTGGGTTGTTGTAGGTTTTTTCGGGCTATATGGCCATGGTCTAGAGGCATTTTCTCCTGACGTTTCACCTGCATCTATGGCAAACATCTTCAGAGGATGCTTGCCACTACCTTTGAGGATGCTTGCCATAGATGCAGGCGAAACGTCAGGAGAGAATGCCTCTAGACCATGGCCATATAGCCCGAAAAAACCTACAACAACCCAGTGATTCCGGCCATGAAAGCCTTCGACAATACGAGAAAATGTTGGTTTCTAATATATGTAATTTCTTTATGCTTGTGGTTAACAGTTTTTCTTGCTGTTTCTTTGTCAGTGTTGATGGGGAGATTATCTGGTTTTGCTACTCTGGAACATTCAACATATAATTGTCCTTCCTTAGAAGTCCCTTCAAATCTACGATACTATATCTCTGTTTGTGTGAATCATATATATCTATGGCTGGATGGCTTTTTGTCAGGAGGACTTTGATTATGTTTTCTTGCCCTGATGAAGGAGTTGGACCGAATGGCCTTAAGTATTTTCTGTTGGTCATGGGGGCTCTGTGTGTCAAGTTTGACCCAATTCTGTCATTGGTGGGGTTCAGAATG